CTAATCTGTTGCGCACCCATGGACTGCCCCCTAACCCTGGTCAGCCATGTAAACATGTTGATCAATCAGTACATTATCCCCAAACCAACTACAGGAAACCAGATGGCCTATTTGGTAATGCCAAACAGTCCAGTGAACCATAGCCCCGAGGATGGCACCTACCAAGCCTTGTCTGCAGGAACAGAGAGGCAAGGCTCCCCTGTGTAGCCACGCTGCCTGTGAAGGATGTCCGCAGGTGTTAGGTGTTTTGGTCTGACCCCAACATTTTCTCATCTCCCAGGTTCAACAGTCATCCAGGCACTCATTAATTAAGCACATATTTATTGAGCATCCCTAGGTGGCAGGCACAGTTCTCAGAGCTGAGTAGGGCACACAGCAGTGAGCAAAATTGGCTGCGCTTGTGGAGTGTACATGCTAGCTGGGGGAGACAGACAAGTACATAACACAGCATCTTAGAAAGTGATAAATGCTACAAAGAAAAATAAGAAAGGGATGTGGGGAGTGCCCAGAGGAAGGGAAGCATTTTTAGGTAGGGTGGTTGGGGAAAATATCTCCCTGAGTACTGGGGCATCACTTTATTTTCTCTCTCTCTCTCTCTCTCTCTCTCTCTCTCTCTCTCTCTCTCTCTCTCTCTCTCATACATATAGCTGTGCAGTGTGACTTGAAAAGTCCCATAAGCCTTCCTCTACCTCCTTCAGAAAAATAAAGATTTCTCAGTAGCAGATCCCAGAGCCCAATCCCCAGCTTTCCTTTCTTCCTTTGCGCTAACAGTGGTTCTCACACTTGAGCATACATCAGAATCACCTGGAGGACTTGTTAAAGCACAGACTGCTGGGCCGCACCACCAGAGTATGTGATTCAGTAGGTCTGGGGTGGATACATGAATTTGCATTTCTAACAAATTCCCAGGTACTGCTGATGCTGCTCATCCAGGGACTACACTTTGAGAGCCACTAGGTGAAGCCATATAGCTGTTAGACCCCGGTAAAAAAAACCAACTATTATCTGAGTCTGGCCAGTGTGGCTCAGTGGTTGAGCATCAATCTATGAGGCAGGAGGTCACAGTTCAATTTCCAGTCAGGGCACATGCCCGGTTGCGGGCTCAATCCCCAGTGAGGGGCGTGCAGGAGGAGCTGATCGATGATACTCTCTCATCATTGATGTTTCTATCTCTTTCTCCCTCTCCCTTTCTCTCTGAAATCAATAAAAATATTTTTAATTAAACTATCACCTGGAAAGGACACATCATTCATTAGGATCTCTGGATTCAAAGTAGCTCTCCGAAGAGCAGGATCCTTGAGAAATGTGACTCTTTCCTAACTGGAGTAAACTTCAGAAACCACAGCCCAAAACCTCCAAGCATGGAGGAGTCAGAGCCAAGGACAGATCCTGAAGAGGTGGTGACAACAGTATTTCATTGCTAGCCTATCAATGCTCTGCATGTTCATAGCATTTAATACTTTTACAAGCCCTTTGCCCACTGCTCTCTTTGGTAACCTGTTAGGTAGGCAGAACAGGTGTCATTATTACATATCATAGATGAGAAAATTGAGACACAAAGACATTACATGGCCTCCCTTGGGCGTGAAGAATGACAACTCCTTGTGGCCTTACACCTTGCCCCATGTTCTTTCTTCTTTAACACTCTTCATGACATAGCTGTGGCTTTCTCTTAGGGCTTCTACCTGGGCCATTAAAATCTAGGACATAGAGTCACTCTTTGCCTGTCGCTCTGTTCAAAATCCCACTGCTTCAAGCAGATGATTCATATGGGTGATTAATTGCAGCAAACACTAGGCCCTGCATGAGTTTTCTCTGCCACAAATGTATTTTTCCTCTTCTACCACCAGGTATTGTTCAGAGAAAATGCTAACTCATTTTGGCATTAGCCTAAGCTAGAACTAATCATTATGAAAGCAAACCTGCTGGGGGAAAAGCACACACAGTACTTTCCAAAGACAAATAGAAATGGCATTTTGATTATATGTACCGTTGCTTCCATTCCATTAGTAGAGATAATTGAAGGTTTTCTGTATCACAAAGCACACAGCAAAATGAGAGTGGATTTTGTTAAATGTGATGGCTGGTGAATCCCATTTGCAGGTATTTTAATATACCAGAAAAACATCATGGACATGAAAGATAACTTCCAGTACTTGCCCTTCTGGTTATTTTCTCCACAGGGAGTGAGGTCTCCCACAGAAGCTCATACACAGTGACCCAAGGTTACAAGGAGCTGTCTCTCTTCAGCTTCCATACTGTTTTTGACCATCCAGAAGCTTAAAGTTTTCAAAATTTAAAACTATCTTCATGGGTCCAGCCAGTTTGGCTCAGTGGAAAGAGCATCGGCCTGTGGACTGAAGGGTCCCAGGTTTGATTCTGGTCAAGGTCATGTACCTTGGTTGCAGGCTCATTTCCCAGCCCTGGTTGGGGCATATGCAAAGGCAACCAATCGATGAGTCTCTCTCACGTCAATGTTTCTCTCTCTGTCTCTCTCCCTTCCACTCACTGAATATAAATAGAAAAATATCCTCAGGTGAGGATTTAAAAAAAAACACACCAACTGTCCTCATTGGTCTCTCAACCCATTGATATTCTGACATGTTCCTTTGGCACTACCATTGGGATCCCTCATTGACTCAGTAAACATTTATTAAGCACTTAATGTATACCAAACCCTGTAAGAGCCACTGAACAGGCTACAAAAATGAGCTAGATACAATCCTATAATACCATATAATAGATTCACTCTGTAAATTATGTGGAATAATCAACATGCAAGTGTATTCTAGATGTAGATTATAAACCCTTGTGAGCATCCCCCCATTTCTATTGTCTGTACTCACTTTGTACTCAGATAAAACTAATTGATGAGTTATGTTAGCTTCAACACAGAGGAAAGACACTAGCGCTGGGAGGAGGAGAGGGGTGAGGCAGAAGTTCTGCTCTGTGGTTGGAGCACACATGGAGATCTGCGTCAGCTGAGGCATGGCAACAACGGGGCAGCGGGACCTAAACTCTGCTGTAGATGTTGCACATGTGGATGATAGCAAATTGAATGTGTGAGGGTCATAGAGCTTGGGGGATTAGAAATCCCATATCGATGAAAGATCCAGTGTGAATGTGTTTTTGCTGAGTTTTATATTCCAAAGTGTGCTGTAAAAATGACCATCCCTTAAAAACAAGTAGCTCACACCCACTGCAACGCAGGGACTGAACATGTAAGAAAATAGGCTGGATTGGGTGATGGAGTGGGCTGTGGAGGACTCAGTTAGTTGGGTCAGTATGAGAGACTCTATGAGAAGAAGAGATGCAGACGATAACCCAACAATGTGAGTATGTGTGTGTGTGTATGCAGACCTGTACATAAATACACATGCACAGAAAGGTGCTGAAGTCCAGTAAAAAAGACTTTATGAGGATGTGATCCCTTTAAATAAATTCCAAACTCATAATAATAATAAAAAAAGACAA